TATATATATATATATATATATATATATATATATATATATATACACCTCAGTGTATATATTATCCCTCATGTTCAGTTTGAGGTCCAAGCTATTTTTAACATAGTATTAGAAACCTGGGACCCCATACAAAACACTAGTTAATTACAACAGAACATGAAGAATATTTATTCCAAATCTAAAGGTTGAAGAGGCTGAAAAAACTAAAAAAGCCTTTCTCAGGCTTGCATAAAATGTTGCATGTTTTGTCTAAAGCATTTTCTCTGCTCTCAAGTGCAACATATGGCAGCTCTATGTTATTTCACGTTACATACATGATCATAATCATAAAGGGGCAAAATAGGTGCTTTTGTAAGGTCAGACTGCCCACCCACCCTTAAAGTTCCCATGCATCACCTCGAAAGGTGTTGTTCAGTATCACAATAATAGAGTGGCATGTTTGTGCGGAGAAGTGCTACGAATGAGTTGATTACATCTCCTCACGTGTGAGATGTTGAACTGTATTTTTAAGGGTGACGTGTACTTTCTCAGGAAGTTTTAAAAACAACTTTGCGGTGCAGGTGTCTCTGCAGGATGGTGTGTAACTGAGAACCAAAATGAACAACTTGAGACTCACTGGCTAATGGTATAAACATGTCAGGTTAACAAGGTTATACATGTCAAATGCAGTGTGTCAAACGCAGCTTTGCAGGTTTTTAATATGTTCTATCCACCATCTGACTGTGTCAAAGATTATAAGCAGTTATATTCCCACTGCAAGAATGTATATACATCAGATTGTATTCATTGATCAGGTAAAACATTCATAAAGTGATTTGTATATTTTAAACAAGAAAATCATACCTCTAGAATGTATATACACTTGAAACCTACCACCATTCCTGTAAACTAAAAGAATATATATGTATATATATGTATATATATATATATATATATATATACAGGTGCATCTCAATAAATTAGAATGTCCGAATTTATTTAATACACAAGTTTCACAATTTGAGTGCCTTGACACTTTTCCATGACATTCTAATTTATTGAGATGCACCTGTATATATGGGGGGGCAATGGTCACCCATGACAGTGGGTATAGAAAAGAATCACCCCCTTTAAAATAATCACATTTTGTTGCTTTGCAGCCTGAAATGACGACGGACACAGTTTTTGTTTTATCCAGCTGTATTTCCTCAGTGCAACTTATAACATCCAAGTGAAAGATATAACACCAACATGTCAGAAAAAAAAGAAGAAGAAAAAAGCTAGAATCACTGAGTTGGAAAAAGAATCACCCCCCCCCTCCTAAAAATGACTTGTAAACTCAATCAGATGTATCTAATCACCTTCTAAATGGCACGCAAAGCCATTTGACTTTCAACTGTGATCAGCTATATAATTTTTATTAGCTCAGCATGAAAAGAGCTAAACTATGGGTGGCAAGGCACTGTCAAAAGATCTCTGGGATAAAGTTGTGGACAGGCACAAGTCAGGAGATGGATGCAAAAAAAATTCAAAGGCTTTATCAATGCCTAGAAGCACAGTGAAGTCTATTATTAAGAAGTGGAAGGTATTTGGTGGAAGGTATTTGGGTAGACCCTCCCTGGATCAGGACGTCCCTCCAAACTGGATGAGAGAGCCAGGAGGAAACTGCTCAGAGAGGTTACCAAGAGGCCTACAGCATCTCTGAAGCAACTGCAGGAATTTATGACAAAGAGTGGTCATTGTGTGCATGTGACAACAATGTCACAAATTCTCCACAAATGTGGCTTGTATGAGAGGGTTGCAAGAAAAAAGCCACTTCTCAAGAAAGGCCACATGCAGTCACGACTGAGCTTTGCTAAAACGCACCTTGAAGATTCTGAGGCAGATAAGACTAAAATTGAATTATTGAATTAAAATTGAACACCAAACGATAGGCTGTCTGGCTGAAATCCAATACAGCTCACCATCCAAATAACACCATTCCAACAGTCGGGGGCGGACTTAACCAATAAGCAAGGTAAGCGGCCGCTTAGGGCCCCAGGGAATCAGGGGGCCCCATCTGATATCGCAGAAACATATTTGCAGCGTTGAACAATGTAGCCAATCACAGACATATCTGTTCATTTCTTGAACACAATGACCAGAAGTGTTTAAGTTAGAATCCACTAACCGCTCAAAATGCAGAGTTTGCTGAGTTCTGCAAGCTCACGGATACTCTCATTATAACAAAGTGTAGATACGATGTAAATAAGAGATTTAACGGAATTTCGTAAGATCACAATTAACTGAAGTGCGTAACAGCTTTAGTGATTAGGCTATATGAGGGAGCACACTTTGTGCGCATTCTTTCTAGGTTGTATATTACTCTATGACTGTCTCAGAACAGAGATATTCACCTCAGTAAAGAAAGTATTGTGTTTCAATTCATAATATTTATTTGTTTCCTGGCAAACCCTATCGTATGCCTTCAGAAATCTTGGACTATGGAATGAGTTGCATGGGATAATTTCATGTTTGTAAAAAGATTGAAAAACTTTACAATTTATTAAATAGACAAGTGCAAGCATTTTTTTATCTTCTTTCATGATTTGAAAAAAAGGTAGCATAATATGGCTTTAGAACAGCATCAGGTTGACTAATTACTGGTTGTGAAGGGATAAATAAACTATGAGAGCGAGCGAGCAAAATAAGGGTTAGGCGTAAAAGAGCACATAGTTATTGTGTTGGGGTCTCATACCTGAAATTTGCTTAGGGCCTCCAAATCACTAAGTCCGCCCCTGCCTAGTAAAGCATGGAGGTGGTAATATCTTGTTCTGGGGTTGTTTCTCTGTAGCAGGGAGTGGAGCACTTGTCAGGATAGAAGGAAAAATGGATGGGGCAATTAAATACCATCAAATTCTTGAGGAAAATCTGCTGCCTTCTGCCAGAAAGTTGTCAATGGGAAAAAGGTTTACCTTCTAACAACTTGAGCAGTTCTGCAAAGAAGAGTGGGCAAATGTGCAAAGTTACTTTAGACACATCCTAACAGACTAAAGGCTGTAATTAAAGCAAAAGGTGGTTCAACAAAATACTAACACAAGGGGGTGATCCTTTTTCCAACTAAGTGATTCTGTTTTCTATTTATTTATTTATTTCTGACATGTTGGTGTTATATCTTTCCCTTGGATGTTATAAGTTGCATTGTGTAAATGTCCATCTTCATTTCAGGCTGCAATCCAACAAAATGTGATTATTGTAAAGAGGGTGATTCTTTTCTATACCCCCTGTGTGTGTATATATATATACAGTGGGTACGGAAAGTATTCAGACCCCCTTAAATTTTTCACTCTTTGTTATATTGCAGCTACACATTGGATTTCCATGTTTTATGGGGACATTCTCACACACACACACACACACACACATGTATATATTAGTCTCTCATCCTTTTGTTTGCCTCAGATTATTACATTTTCAAACCTTTGTTGAATAAATTACTTGTCTTCAGAATTCATATTTGATCTGATGAACTTTCATCTGAATTTCCCTTGTGAAAACAAATACACTTTAGCATATTTTTACTGAAATAATGTACTTTAAAAGAATATACTTAAGTGTGATATGAATGTAATGTTTTTGGACACTTAATTGCATGTTAATTACAATTAAATGAAATGGTATTATAGTTAAAATGTATATTTAATGCAATTAGTTGAACATAAGAGTGCTTTTTGAACCCACTTAAGTAGGTCATTTCATGCACTTTTTAATTGTACTTGTTTTAACTGTACTTAAGTGTGTTAAACATAATCATGAAAGTGTTTAAGTACACTCAAAGGTGTTTTTTTGTCAAAATATATTATCTTAACCAAGTTTATTGTTCATTGACTACATTGAGATACTGAACGTACGGAAATTCTTCTTGACAGGTAAGGTAAAAAGTTTTTGCAACACGTTAACTCTTTACTTTCAAGCCCCAGATAACAGAAGATACTGTAAGGATAAGAATAATCTTAACGGAATTTTCAAACGTTGTGCAAAATTATGCTTTATTTTTGTAATTCCGCTAGGTGAGACTAGTATCGCAAATACTACATACTTCACATTTAAGTGGCTTTTTATTTAGTTAATATTATATTATATGCAAGTATACACATATATATATATATAGAGAGAGAGAGAGAGAGAGAGAGAGAGAGAGGGAGAGAGAGAGAGAGGGAGAGAGAGATAGAGAGAGAGAGAGAGGGATTTGAAGTACACTACAAATGCACATTCAGTACAATTAAGCAGAAAAAAGTGCAGTGTGTCAGTCATGTATCTTTTATTTTGTATCAAAACAGCATTCAAGAGGAAGAAGTTACTATGAATAACTCGATCAGCAACATACAGTACAGTACTTATTTTAGATACTATCCGCAGAGTGAGCGGAAACCATAATGTGTTTTAGATGTATCTGACTAAAGCCACCAAATAGCAGACAACATGTAGACAATACAGAAAAAATAGAGTATTCATCACTGTAAAATAATTGAAAAAAACTTAATGCTTTATGTACAAGATGATGTCATACAAGATCCTGTATATGCTTGTGTTTATGACTAAATCACAGCCATGCGCATATAGTTCAGAAGTACTCTTGCCACATGATATTTCTTAAAAATGTGTTCTAAAGAGTGCCTAACCCTCTTCTGGAACTGAAAAACTCTGGCAAAGCCCTTGTGGGGAGTATGGGCTGGAATCAAAGACAGGCCCTCTGAGGCAGCTCTCCAGGTCAGTGGGTTGTACAGTTTGACTTGTGAAAGTGCTCTGATTTACATCTCCTGTTTCCACAATCCTCTCATTCTCTTCCACTCCTCCGTCCTCATTGGAGGCTGTCTGAGGGGGAGCGAGGAGGTCTTCAAGAATGCCCAAAGATCCCAGTGCTCCATCCATAGCTAAGAAGCTATTAAGACGCCCGTGTATCACGGGAATACAGGTTAAATCCCAGCTGAAGTCATGATGTGATGGAGACACCAACAAAGGGAATTGGTCCTCTTCCTCTGTAGTCTCAGGGAAGTCTTCATTTCTCTGTGAAGCTGTCAATTGCTGAGCTTTATAAGGAGAATCAATGCAAAACAGGTCTGTCGTGGGCATTTCTGTGACATGAAGCACAGTTGGATAAGAGTCTTGCCTCTCCAAAGACAGACAGACTTCCTCAATGGGAGTTAAGGGAGGATCGCTGTCTCCAGGAAGAGCTCCCCAAGGGCCATAGATGTCGTCCTGAGAGCAAAAAAAATGGTATTAACAAGTATGGAGATGCAGTATGAAAACAATGTCAACCTCTAACATTATTTTTGCAATAACAGGTGCAATATTGTATCATAATTATAATGCATATTAATATATACTGAGCATTACAAGATTGTTAGGGGCTGTCCACAGAGTTTTTGCAGTTTTGGCATTTCTGCATTTCTTTTTTTCCCATTCCACTTCTCTGCATCTCATGTTTTAAATGCGAACATGCCTTTTGTGTAAATCAAGTCAGTGATAGTTTTAGGATGTGTGGTCTGCTTTTTTCTCCCTTTTCTTAACAATTTGTTTTACAACCATCTTTCCAATTAAAAGCATGCTGCATAGCCACTAGTTAGTGATATATTGACAACAGCTAATAGATTTAGCAACCAAATCTCCATTTATAACAGGCATAAACATGGGATAAGGCATCAGAAAGGTTGAGAATCTTATTTTACAGTTTCGTATAGTCAAAGTTCTGTTTATTCCTTTAATTGTTGAAGGATACTGAGGTCATGTATAACTATGACATTTCTGCTACTGTGCTTCATAGTGGGGGAAATTCTTTCTGGTGGAAAATGTTCTCAAAAAGATGAAATGTTTTGCATTTTTTTTAAAGGTTCCATTTTCAGGCCATCTGTCCACATGCCAAACAGGATACCGAGTCAGTTTTCTTGTCCAGTTGATTTGTGAATACTACTTTTCTCAAATCCAATTGATGCCAGCAGATACTTAGCTGTTATGTTGAGGTTCCGTGGCCTCCTGAAGTTCAGTATGCTTTAGAAGAGTGAAAATAGAGTACTTCTATTTGAACACAATGTGCCTGATCTTTGAATTGTAAGGTAACCCCATCCAGCCTTATGAGCTACTAACTAAACTGACATCACAAGATTACTTGTGTTGTATTTGTTTTAGAGAAGGCCTCCAAACTCATAATATTGCATTATGATTGTTACATTTAACTAAAATTACCCTGCATAAATAAACATTATTACCTTTAGTAGTTTTATAGCATTGCTGTTATCAAATTTCGGTAGATTTTCGAAAATCCAAGAAACTCCAATGGACATGCACATTTTCATCATTCTGTAAAGTGAGTTTTTTTGAGAAATAAAATAACAGTTACACACACACACACACTGTGACTGTAACATTATAAAATACTGCAGACATGAGCCACATTGTGAAACTATTTGCACAAATGAAAGTGAAGACACTTAGTAAAATCAAAACCCCCTAGTTCAGCACGTCACCTTTGCCGCACACATTTCAGGTACATTAGGTTGGCCAGGATCACCATAGGAACAGCAGCAGCCAAACAAATTCCAGCTATCATTCCACCTAGAAACACAATTAAGCACATTAAGATAAACACATGATATGCTATTGTTGAAAAATTCTGCATTGACTGCTCCTAATATCTTTTAAATTACTTTGTAAGTGCACACTCTATGAATAATGCATGATTATAATTCAGTGTCTTGTGAATGCACGGTATGCAGTTCTAACCCTTACCCTACACAATGAGTTATATTGTAGTCAGAATGTGCACTGAACCTCATGCTGATTCTCTTAAAGGGACAGTATGACTTTCTTTCATCAGTAGAACACACACACACACACACACACACACACACACACACAAAAAGAAAATGCTGAAAAATGTCTCCGGGTTTTTTGTTCATACAGTGAAAGTCAATGTGGTCCAGTGCTGTTTTGGATCTCAATGAATTTCACTCTATGGACAAAAACAGTCATCAAAATATCTTCTTTTGTGTTCCACAGACAAAGGAAAGTTGTACAGTTTTGGAACAACATGAGGATGAGTAAATAAAGATGACAGAATTCTATTTTTTTAATATAGCAACATCACATCTGCACATCTTTTTAACAAATATTGAACTTCCAAACACTCTTCCCCGCTTAATAATAACTTCTGCAGAAGCTTTCTAGAAATATCCATGTTTGTAATTGATTGTGGTCGAACTAATGTGATTTTAAGGTCAACGTTTCTATACATAGGTAATTCAACACTCCTTTAATTTCAAAGATCTTTGATCTTTTTCATCTGTTTCATAAGGAAAGGCACCTGTTGTCTCGTCTGAACCAGTTTGGTATGATAGTTTGCTGTGACAACAGCAAGTGGCAGGTTTTCCTTTGGGCCCTTCACCGGCAGAATTCCATGCAGAGACCAGGATATCGAAACACTCCTGTTGGCCTTGCAACTCCCAACTCAAAGGTCTAGGAAATGCATAAGGCACAGTTTCTGCAAGAACACATAGAACATTAGGAGATGAAGAGTGTTTCTTCCAGCAGAACATAACTAAACATTGATTTGCATCTCTCACACTCTACTTTAGCAATGACTAGTTAGCTGACTGACAGTTTGTCTTTGAACCAGGTTTTATGGTTAAGGGTCAAAGATCTAAGAGTATGAAAAATTAAACATAAAATGCTCATGTAACTATTCCGCATGGTGGAGATATTTAACACTGCCAGAAAGCTGTTATCAGGGTGCGAACTACGGCGGAGCTAGGGGGAGCTCGGCTCCCCTTAATAAGACATGGGCTCCCCTGAAAACGGGATTTGTGAAATTTTGGGGAGGTCTCAAAAAATATTGTCAATGTGTTATTTTGACGTGCAATTTCAGTTTTGTGTAATGCGATCATCGTGGATTCTTATGTGTAAAATTGCATAAATATCATTCATTCATGCATGACGGCGATTTAAACCTAATTCACTTCAATAAAGATAACTATACATGCTATTCTTGTCATGAGTATCAAGGTGTGGGAGCGCTGCGGTGCAAATTCCACTCATGTTTAGTACATGTTAACTCAAAGATTCGTAGAAAAAATATAAACGCTGGACTCGATTCTGTGTTAAGGTAAGGCATGTTACTCGCAATTATGTGTTGTGGCTGGGTTGTTATAGGTCTGCGTGACTCTTGATGTCTTAGGCCTAACTAACTATATAGATTTATCCTATATAGTGCTTGCATAAAGCAAGTAGTGCATACACTTGTAGCTGTTATGTATTTTTGTAAGTCATTGTAAGCCCTCTTTTGAGGCACGCGCAAGCGCACAACCCCCCCACCCGTTATAAAAACAAACAAACAAGTGGGCTCCCCCAAAGTCCACGGTATAGTTCAAACACTGGCTGTTATGTACTTTTTTTGTCTGTTCAGCATTTTTTGTTTTGAGTGTTATGCCACTGGATAATAACAGACATTTTTTAGTTACTGATGTCTGTTTAACAGCTTGGTTGGAGTAGCTTATGTTGGAGACAGAAACATTTGCACATAGCCACATTGCTTTCCGCTGTTGTCTCTACTTCCTGCCATGCCCTGAAGCCACATGTTTAAGAATAAATGCTTAGTCTCATTCGTGCCAGCCGGAGCTGTAACTTTAAAGACACAGAAGACAGAGGCCCTCAAGAGATTCTAGTGAGACTCTAGAGAATACGTGAATACATTGACGCCCAGCAGGATCAGACAGGGCATATGAACGCCCATTAACATATAAACCGCAGTTTACTCTTTAATCATTTTGTGTGACCACAAGTATTTTATAACGTTAGAAATTGAAAGTCACCTGCTACAGTCTTAAGCATGTGAAGCCCATCTGTGAATAGTTTTCAGTTTCACTTCAATCTGACATGTGGGCCTGTCCCTTTGAGAGTGACATTTTTTTCCAACACCTCTACGTTATTTTCCTTTTTTTTAGCAAAATATTACCTCAACACTACAATAAATAACAACAACAATCTTAGACTGTAGATCAAGTTCAACTGGATTTTCAAAACAGAAAAAACAGCCCTACTTAAAAATCTAGTTAACTGGTAGAACTACACTACTGTTTAAAAGTTTTGGGTCAGTAAGATTTTTTTGTTTAAAGAAATAGTTTTATTAAGCAAGCATGTGTTAAATTAATTAAAAGTCACAGAATCTTTTACATTGTTACATATATATATATATATATATATATATATATATATATATATATATATATATATATATATATATATATA